GGGGGGGGGGGCTGTTCCTGAGAACATCTCTCTAAATTCCTCACACGCATCTGGGACCTGCTTTCAATTCCCTATTGACACATCTCCCTGTGCCACAGGGGGCATGTTTGAGAAGCAAGAGGGGTCATCTCTCCTCCCACCGAATTTCCATGGTTGGGGTTCCCAGGAAGATCTCTGGGCTGGGAGTCTGGAGACCTAGATGCTTTTTCCAGTTCTTTCTTGGGCTATCTCTAGGACTCATGTAAGATACCTCACTCATGTCTGCTTCAGTTTCTTCATCTGCAAAATAAAGAACACTAAGACCAGAGCAGATGCTGCAAATGGATCGCCTACTAGGGAGGCCTAACCCACAGACATGCTTTATTAGATCTCTGTAGAGTTTGAGAAAAACTAGAATCCTTCTTTGATCATTTTTTTGAATGGTTTCAAAATCCAGACTTCCAGCTTCTCTCCAACCGTCGGGAGATTGCTCTCATTGGGTCTGCTTTTCTGCTTGGCGACTTTGGTGGTGGCAGCCCTTCGCACCCCCTCTGCTGTCTCACATATCCGCCTCAACAGTTGCATGTTTTCCCGGTCTCTGAGGCATGCAGTCTTGCCAGTTGGGACAGAGGGTCTCTAAACTCCTTTCTAACTCCAAAGAGCCTGTGATGCCAAAGGCCAGACGCCAATTCCTTTGTTTCTATTGTGTTTGCCAAAGCAAAGTGCTATCCACAAGATCATTTTTTCCAAAAGGGAAGTCAGAGAAAGACAGTTCTTTCTCAGGCAGCATCCTAAATACAGTCTTGCAAACAACTTATCCTACTCGCGAGGAGCAGCTGAGACGCTCCTAATGATCTCTGCTTCTCGACTAGACTGTGATACATGCCGATGGCTTCCAAGCCTGGCCACCATCAGCATCAAAGGGGCAGCTTGCCCAAGCAGCAGATTGACAGCCCAGCCCAGTAGGTGACAGGGCAGCCCCCCCAGGGTGTTCTAATGAGGCTCTCGGACTGTACTCGGGGAAGCACGTACAGTCATTATTTTCCACTGGCCTCGGTAGCACAGACACATTCTGTCAAGAAGTGTGGAAGAACTCCACAGAGCTTGAAATCTGGACTTGTTTTCGTCCAAATTCCTGGAGCAAAAGAAGTCAGCCTTTGGTGTGTAAAGGCTCCCTCATGCCGAGAGCCCTGCTTGTCAGGCCAGATGTATCAGTGTCACTTCTGCTGGGCCAGTGGGTGCCTGGTTCACGATGGGAATCGAAAGAAATAAAGATTTTTTTTTTCCCTGGCTTAGACAAGGGAGCTGCACTTCTAGAATACTCCAAGTCCACAGTGAGAATGCAGCCACAGCAAACCTGCCTATCAGGAATAAGATACTCACGGATGCGCCATGCGGCTGAAGTTGCTGAGGGGATCCTGGATGCGCTGCCTCAGCTCTTGTGCCCAGCGGAGACCCCCGGCCACAGCAGGCATGTTCTTGTGCACCAGAGAGAACCCTGGAGACGTGACACAGGCAGACTGAAGTAAAGCTTCAGGTTCCCAAGTCCCCAGCCTACCTGGTCCTCATCTACCTCCAGACTAAAGTCACACTGGGTTCACACCGAGAAGCTACTGAAAGGTCACCATGTTTGCTAAAGAAGAAGGGAGAGTATGGCCAGCTGACAGAACACTAACGGTGTGGGAGGATCTAGGTCTCCCGCCGATCCATTCTCATTTAGTTGGTCTGGATGGGGTCTGGTCATTTTTAGATGCTCTTGAGATGATTCTAATAGTACCGTCGGGGCGGAGAAGCATTGCTTTAAACAGACAACTTGATTTCTAGGGGCCTCAGTTCTCTCATCTCTAAAATGGGATGCGGTTTGTTTAACTTCCAGGCTTGCTTGGGAGAATTCAGTAAGATGAGGACCGACACGGGCCACGTGGATGATGAAGCACTTGGCCAAGGGCGGCCTGGATAGTCTCACTTCGTCTATGCAGTGGGCTCAGTCGTCAAGATTGAGCAATGTGAGATTTCATTTTTTTTTAAATTCTCAGTTTCCAACTTCTCTGGTGAAATCAGAAGACTGGCAACAGTCAGCGCTGCCATTTCTAACTCGCGAGTGGACCTGAAGAAAGGTTACTCGCTTTATTTCCCCAGGCGCTCCCCCAGTTTCTGATATCTGATGCTCAGCCCAGACCCATTATTATTTGTTCTGTGTGATAGGCAAATTCTAAGAGGATCCCCTGTGACCCTCACCCTTGCATAGTCCTCCCCGCTTTTGGTGTGAGTGATACGATGAAATCTCCCTCCTGCAGTTGTGTTATGTTACGGTAGAGAGGGAGGGACGCTGGGTGGATTGGACCCAGTCAGGGTAACCCTTGGACAGCAGAGCATTTTCTTTGACTGGTGACATGAGACGATTCAATGTGCCATTGCTGGCTTGAAGGTGGAGGTGGCTGCATGGCAAGGAATGCAGGTGGCTTTTAGTCACCAAGAGTGGCCCCTAGCTGATGGCCAAACAGTAAATGGAGACTTCACAAGGAACTGGATTGTCGCCACAAGAATAAGCAATAAGCTTGGGGACCAGCCATGGTGGCACAGCAGTGACGCAATGCTCGGTGACGCTGGACCCAGTGGGAAGTCCCAGGCTTGCATCTGGAGGCTTCCTCTGTGCACCCTCAGCCTGCACATAACCATGATCCAGGCTAAGTGAGGCCAGGGGTAGATCACAACACCAAGATCTTGATTATCTTTACACCCCTTGCAGAGAACTGGAACTGGTCCCTGCCATACATGCCTGAAGGGAAAGGCCCCTCAACAGTGATTCTCCTGAGCTACCTGGTCTCCTTATGATTCTACCAGAAGACAACGACCAGGCCTCCTCTTCATTCTGCCCCAAAACAATGAATAACTTGTCCTTTGCTTCTAACTGTGCCCCACACTGACCTCGTCCCCTAGGTAAGTTTTGAGTCACATCCCATACAGTAGAGATGGTATGGCCTCCTGGCCTCTCTCTGCTCGGTAAGTAAATTCCTTTTCTTATTGACAGCTCTTGTCTCTTTGTCAAACAGCAGGTGGCATGGACCTGATTGTTGGTCCTTGAAACAAGCATCCGTGTCCTTTCCAGCATCACTCACATTCTATGAACAGGCACCTTCTAGGCTTAATTATCTTATCCCTTATCCTGACCTGCCATGGCATGCAGTGCCCATAAGTATGCCTCACATATAGCAAGGACTCGAGAAATGTTTGTAAAACAGAAATGAACTTGTGTTTGACTTTCAAGCAGGGAAGACAGGGCATCTCAGCCCTGCACTGAGAATGGAGACATCACACCTCAGCTCGGCACTGCCCTTTGTCAGGCTCCTGCTGGTTCCTCCCACCAGAAGCACGGTTGCTATGGCATTGGAAGACATAAGAATCTTTTCTCAGGCATGTAAAAGCCTACTGTGGAATTGAGGTATGGGCAAGGTTAATCAGCGTGGCGACATTGATCAAGGGTCAACTCATACATTATGCCCACGTCTCAATTGACCAGAGGCCATCACGGCTTCACTGCTCTGTCAATCTCAGCCCTCGATGCAGGAGAATTCACAGTTCAGTGAACTCCGCCATCACATAGGATGGTCTGGAATTGGATGCAAGAAAGTTGTGCTGGCCCTTCTTGGAGAATGTCATAGATCCATATACAGACATTTAACAGACACAAGAGGAATGAATGAGTTGCACCCTCCCCAGGAACAGAACTTCCTCCCTGAAATCCTCTGACCACAAGCCTACCACACTCTGCCTCCTCCTGGACGTGCTGATTGTGGATGATCCTCACCGCATCCAGCTCTCTATTGAACATCCGGATGAGGACCAGGTATTTCTCAGCTACCTCCTGTGCCACCAGGGGTCTCTGCAGGAGGTTCCCTGCTATGTCTAGCAGCTGTAGAGAGGGCAGAGAAGAGACACGGGTTCAACCTACTGGAGGTTAGATAAATCCTGGGTCCTGGTTCTCCTTTATAGGCCTATCCATGTAAAAGGGGCAAATGCTTGTTATTATGGAATTGGATCAACAACTATTAATGTGGATATTCATAGTCTTCCCCCTTCTCTTTTGTTTCTAAAGGATTACAAAACTCTTTGTTTGCCTGATTGCCCATGAGACTCTCTTTTATTTGTTTACTCTGGAGAAAGGGTAAAAACAAAGGGAAAAATAAAGATGCTGCAGAGGTAAGTTGATGGGTATAATAAAGACCTAAAAACAGAAGGAAAGTGATAACAGAAAAAAACAAACAAAAAAACAAACAAAAATCAAGTGAAGAGGGCTGGGTGTTGGGGAGGATTTAAAGGGCTACAACTTAAGTGGGAGCAAAAAAAATTCAGAGAGTGGCTGTCTTGAGAAGGTCAGGGATGGTAAGGATACTTGGAAGATGTTTTCCTGGGCATTACAAATGCCCTAACCCCTTGGTGTTTCCTAGAACATTAGAATCAAGATCTGACCTGTTTTTCATTCCCTTTTGGTTGCTGGATTATATTTCGACAATTGTGATGCTGTTCTGAGACTAGGACATACAGGACTCCAGTTGTATTTTGGATATACCAACATGCTGATTCTAAACTTGTCTCTGTCATGATCATCCATCTCCACCTCATGCTTCAAGCCAGGGGTTGGCAAAGTATAGCTCATGGTGAGCAAACCTGGCCTAACCTGGCCCAACCTGGCCATGGTCTCAGTGTGTGTGTGTGTGTGTGTGTGTGTGTGTGTGTGTGTGTGCTTATTTTAAAAAGTGTTTTTTTATTTTTTCTAATAAAAAATATGTGACCAGACTTGCTTGATTCAAGAAATGTTTGTAAAACAGAAGTGAACTTGTGTTTGACTTTCAAGCACGACAGGTCTCAGCCCTGTACTGAGAATGGAGACATCACACCTCAGCTTTGCACTGCCCTTTGTCAGACTCCTGGCCTAACCTGACCCATGGCCTTAGTGTGTGCTTTTTTTCATTTTAAAGAGAGGTTTTTGTTTTTGTTTTAATTTAAGTAAAAAATATGTAACAGAAAACATGTGTGACCAAACTTGCTTGATTTTCAAGCAAGGTATGATGGAGACATCACACCTCAGCTGGGTACTGCTCTTTGTCAGACTCCAGATAAATATTTATCCTCTGGACTTCATAGAGAAAGGTCTGCCAACCTTTGTTTTAAGTCACTAATCAAGAGACACGACATAAAATCATATCCACTTGACCTAAAACTGGAAGCCAAGTAGACTTCATTGGTCTGAGACCTCATGTTCTTCCTCTTACCAATGCACTCTAAAGACTCTCTTAAGGATGCTTAAAAGAAAAATCACCTTCCATTGAAGGTTCTGGGACCACCTTTCCTTCCACAAAAAATTACCCAGATCTCTGCAGAGTAGAAAGTAGCTCCTTCTCAATGGAGGCACAAGAAGGCAGGTCTTCATTAAGTTCTGTAGGTCAAACCTTTAGACAGTCATGGCTGGCCAGTATTATCTTACTCCAGGTCTTTAATCTAGATGAATTTAGCCATGTCCATGAAGGGTGTGCCTAGTGGCTAGAAGGTCTTCTAGCACCAGAAGGAGAATCTGGAGTCAGGTGATATCTTGGCCTCTACTGCCTAGCCCTGAAAAAAGCACTTCTATGCATAAACATACTTCCATTAGAGCTTTTGCTTTGGCTAAAGCAGGAGGGAAGGGTTTTAGTTTTCTGCTGGAGGAAATGACCAAATCTTGCAGAAGGGATCAAATGGTTGTGGTTTTCCTATTAGTCTTCATAGGCTGGATTAGACATCCTGTTGAGAAGAGGAATTAAGGCCAGAAGATAAAAAATTTGCTTATGTAAGTGCCCTTTGAGACTCCATGTCCCAAAAGTGCTGCTTCAGTGGCCAGACACAGTTAGAAAGGTCTCTACTCAGAGCTGTACTCCACCATAAAATTCCAAGGACTGGAATTTTTGGAATCCTGGCACCAACACAGATGTTTTCAAGGTGGGGATCATCAGAATAGCAATACTATGACTTCTTCAAGCAACTTCCTGGGCAGGTGAAATTTCCAAGGGATGTTGTAGACTGGCAGCAGAGACACATAATGATTTCAAGGACAGAGAGACTTGGGAATACATCCCTTGAAGACTTCTTGAAATCCTAAGTGCAGAAGGACTTATAGCAAGGGACATCCTAAAAGCTTAGATGGAGTCCTAGCTTCACAAGCTATCTGGGTGGTAGAGTCCCAGTTAGCGTTGACAGTGAATGGTAAATAGAATCATTTTGCAGATACACATAAGCCCTTTCCTTGGAATCAGTTCAAATGCTGGCAGGAGGGAATCTCAAAAATCTTAGATGAGTTATAGACTAGCAGGCAATTATTAAAGTTTACATATATATACTCAATGGCTAATGAAGTCTGGCACATTTAGGTTATATAGTATTCTAGAATAATATAGATTCACCCATCCAGGATTTAAGGCTTTTCTTCAATTGTCCCACCAGATATTTAATCTGTGTTTGGACAGTTTCAGTGACTGGGAAGTTAACTACTTGTCAAGGAAGTCGGTTCTAATGTAAACAGGTGTGACAGAAAACTCTTTCTTCTCTTGAACCAAAATCTGCCTCCTTTAAACTTCCACTGACCAGCCCTAGTTCTAATATTTAGGACTTTTTCTAATAAGCCTCTTCGTAGTTGATAGAAAACCTATCAGGCTCCAATAAGTCTTTATGTCTCACAACTCAGCATTCTCATTTGTCCAGCCATTTATCTACCCACCATCCTACACCTTCTCCTCCATACTCTTTCTTTCACCTAATCTGAGCAATCTAGTTATTGATGTCTGATCCCTATAATCCATTACCTGGTAGGTGTTTGTAATAGCATAAGTCAACCTAGCAGCAGTGGTTAAACAGCTCTGGTACTGCAGGGCCATGGTGACCACAGTAGACTTTCTCATTTTTTTTTTTTTTGAGAGATTTTTCCTATAGGGTACATGTGCTCACTAGAGAGACAGACAGAGACAGAGCGGCAGAAAGTGAGAAATCATCCTCCAGGAGGGGATGGCCATGCTGCAATCCCTTCTTCTCCATTCTCTTCTTGGGATCTTGAGCACACACATACATACATGTGCCCAGCTGCCAGATCCAGGACTTGAACCGTGGTGGACTACATGGGAGTCCAGTGACATAATCATTACGCTATCCATTGGTCTCAGACTTTCTTGCTTTTAGTGAGTACTGTACCAGTAAAGAATGGAGCCCAAAAAGAACACTGCAAAAGAATTTCTTCTAAGAATTTTTACATGGTTGGGGGCCAGTAGATGGCATAGAGGTTGCATTGCTGGATTCCCACATGGTCAACTGTGGTTCAAGTCCTGGGCCTGGTAGCTTGAAAATCATGCCAGGCATATGTGTATTTGTGCCCAAGATCTTGGGAGGAGAATTGAGGAGAAGGGATTGCGGTGTGGCCATCTCCCCAGGGGGGTGATTTATATGTTCCTTCTCACTGTCTCTGTCTTTCTCCTACGAGCGCATGTGCCCTAAGGCAAAACAACCTCTTAAAAAGAAAAAAAGAATTTTTACACGGTTATATTTTCAGATAGCATAAATAATTAGGATTAGAAGCCAAGTTCTGCCAACTCCCTTACCCTAGGACGCTCAAGATCAGTCTCTAGCAGACTAATAATAGTCAACATTTGTAGGAACGAAACAGAAGAATCCCTACCATCCTCTGATGAGAATTAGAGTACTGAGGACAAGGGTTGCTCCTGCCACAGATCTACAAACCTTAAAGGCATGCTCTAAGCCAGGTGTATCATCAAAGGCTTGAATAAATATGGTCCCCAACCTTCGGTCCAGATCTTCTACTCTTTGGTTAAATTCTGTGACGTCTTTTTCAAATTCCTGGTGAGAGACACT